GAAAAAAGGGAATCAGAGAGTCTGGGCCCTGAACTTGATACTGGTAGGTAGGTAAAAAAACATTAACATACGCTGTTTGTTAGGTAAATTGAATTCTGCTCTTTACAATTTGACCTCTCTTTTTTCATCAAGGTGACTCCAGTTAAAATGACACACATTGCAGTTATTTTTTTGTGTGTTTGTGTGATTTAATAGAGATCCTGTTTCAGCATCTTGAAAGTGAAGTTACAGTCTTGTACTTTAGCGTTAGAAAGAGAATCCTCTCAGACAGTGAATCTCCAGTTTAAGCGAGCTATACCACGACTATAGCGCCTTTGGCGGTTTTACTGTTATAGGTGAGAACAATAATTTCAACTTCAGTTCAGAAAGACGTATCACCTTTAGAAATGAACAGATTGGTATCTTATTTCTGAAATATCATCTCGACTCTCTTTTGAATTGGAAAGGCTTTACTTGAGGGGCTGTCGTCTGCTCCCGACCTACTTTATAAAGATAAATCGTTTCAATTTCTCCAGCATTGTTGTCGATGAAACTTCACAAATTAAAAATAAACTTGGTACATTGTATTATTTAAGATAAGGTTTCAAATGAAGATGCTGCCGCTCAAATAGCCTATATTGGCCTCAAAAATGGCCAGTATTTCAATAGCTAGTGAAATATACAGTGAAATAATGTATATTCAATGTCAACACCCAGATCCAATTTTATATATTCGTTTTGCTAATATCTCATTTTTGTTAAAAAAAAAGTATTACCTTGTCATTGAAAACCAAAATAATTATAACTTTATTAAAAGAAATTGCTTAAATATCTTTTCAAATGCCCGAGTTCTTTAATACATTTTAAGGTAAGTTTCTGTGAAAATGAGAAGAAAGAAGGATATGACATGACATCCGTGCGAAAACTTTATGGCTACAAGGTCAAAACTCAGGTGACGACAAACAACATCGTAATTAGGATCTCGGTGAAATCTCTAGCCTACGGACAATAGATACACAATATCACTATCAGCAATCATCACGACATTTCAGGTATACACTACATGCTATGTATATTTTGTCGAGACACAATACAGCTCTAAATCAGTGAACCGGAAATAAGACTATCCTCGATCCTGAGCTTGCTTTCCCTTCGGATATAGTATCAACAGCGCGAATTTTGCCTCCGGTAGTGTAAATAGCGAGAAAAAACACCTAATTGATATGAGCCAAATTGGATTCCTGGTTACACAGAAAAGAAACGTGTGAAAGTGGATAATAAGTCTGTATTTGACACACCTCGGGTGACAGTCATGTTTAGATCCTACACCTGATACGGGTTTGAAATAGTTGTAAGGATTAAGCCCCCAGTTTCTCCCATTGTGCGTCCCTGCAGGACACTTCTGCTCTTTATAAATCTTCGCAAGGCAATCGTTTTCCGGTAAATTTATGAATTTGTACCGTCTGATAAAGGTCTTTGTAGACAACATGCTAAACATGTTTGTGAATATCCCTGACCCGACGATAGAGTCATGAGATATTTTATTTATTATTTAATGCAGGTAGTAAACTTTGTCTGATGTACTTGTTTATAGATTTTTATATATATTTAAAATAGGTGTCAGACATGGAGTCCTCTTAGCGGTATGGTTCTTAACTTGATTTAGTCGCTTCCGCAGTATGCTACACATTGCTTCATGCAGTACATAGCTCCAGTAATTTTTCATACACCGTACATTAATTAATATTGTTTCATTTTTATCTCAGATTTCACGCGTTACGTGTAGGCGTTGTATATAAAATACACGACACTCAGCACATGGTACATAACTCGGCTGTTAAACTAATTAACTTTTCTTACTGTAGGCCTTGAAATTGCGGCATGAATCTCGTGACATGCATGCAAAACTTTTTTTTTCTAAAAGAAAATAACTTGAGAAAAACGCAAGTTCTTAAGAAGCAAACTTGGCGACTGCCTTTAATTATAAAGAAAGGGGGTATGCATTCTCTATTCATTATTTTCCACAGGGGATATTCAATTCAATTAAGCGTGTGTGACATTGCACGATAGCTCTTGACGTTCGTTCAGGATAGAAGACTAACGACGTACATACATTGTGGAGGGTTAAAGAGACGGGGGAGGGGATAGTTCAATCCGACGGAATGTGACGCGTATACGGAGAGGTTGGGGGTATTTCGGCGGATCGGTTCAATGCATTTAGTTATTTCTAGACCAGGTGGACGATGTTAAGGAGTATCATATGTATAGCACCCCCACAGATAGCGAAAGATTAAATCAACTTGTCTTACGAACATATAAAACCCGTTCGAATATGATATGGGTTTTAACAGCGATGTTCTATAAAAAAAAAACATCCTTTAAATCAAACGATAGAAAGTGTGTTTTGGGTACATCACCAAAGCTGTGCTGAAGATAGGATGTTCTTATAGGTATCCTGGTGGTAAGAAAACTAGGAAGTTTGGGAGCTCACGTGCACTTTTGGCAGCTAAGGACCAGTACATGCATTCAACCCGAGAAGTGTATTTGACCTACAGTAGATTCCATTCACAAAACTGATTCCCTGAAGACCCCTACCAAAGCCTATTAAATAGAACAAAGCCAGGCTCTTGAACCGCATACTAACCAATTAATTCTTGAACAAATTGCAAATGTAGAAAACGGCTGTATTGTGTATACATATATGGTAAGTGGTATAAATAACTGGAATATTTTTTTTAGTTTCAGGAAACATTTTGTATAAATTGGTATGAAGTGAACCTTTTTTTATCGTTCATTATGCTAGAATTAAATAGTATTCTAAACATTAAGTACCCTTCCGAGACTCTCACCAGATGAAGAGGGCTATCTGAGTGGCACACTTATCAAATGTAGTCCGGGTTTCCAAAAAGAGAACATCGAAATGATGACGTACTTGAACTTTGCGAGGTATCAATATGTTTTAGTATGAGCCTTGGGCAAGACCGAATTATATTCAGAAGGGAGGGGCCAAGCGATTCAAGCTCCTGTGATTAAATAATGTGTTACAAGAATAAACTTAACATGTACGTATATCTCCCATAAGAGACAGTCAATGTAGTGTTGTCATATCTAAACGCTTGTTCTGGACGGTATATATATATATAGTGCTGTAAGCACACGAAACATCATATTTATCTTCATCTTTTGTTTATAAGTATAATAAGATTCAGATACATGCCAGATGGACCTAGAAAGGGCAATGACCCTTATTTCTATCATTTTTGTCTTGGATAATTGGCCCTTTGTTTTTCTCCTAGAAACGCCGCTCCTTACTAACAGGGAGTGTTTTGTTTGAGTAGAAAAAAATACCTCATCTCTATACATCAGGTATGGATTATATATAGCTTATGTTATTATCAAGCCGAGAGAGGAGATGTTTTATGCCTATCCCGTCTAAATAGCTTCAAGGATTTGCGAAGCAGTGATTTGTTATAGATACCTTACTTATACCTTACTTGTGTATTAACAGTGTCACTCTGCCTTGGTAATCTATCCAAGTGCATTACTTAACAATGCACGTGCATTACGCACGAGTATGAAATACGTATTACATACATGCATAGGAAAATGGCGATACGTATATTGTATACGGAAGGTAGATCGGCAGAGTTAGTGGGAAGAGTTCGGGATTTGGAGGGGGTCATTATGGGGGAGGGAGTACGGGTGGGGGAGGGGGTCAGGAAGAGGGTCAGGATGGGGAGGGATCCTGGAAGAGGGAGGGGGAGAAGCAGATGTTATGGCTTGTGCACCACTCAAAGTCATGAGCTCATGTCGAATGGCTGGCATCTACCAAATGCATCATTTAATGAGCTTCTACAAGGGTTGGTTTTCACACGCTTCGATTACATTTCTGGCATTATGAGTATATACAATACCGCCTGATTATGATAAAGCTGCCGACAGGAAAAAATGAAGGGAGAGTCAGATCTCACCTGAATACACAGATGTGTGTAAGGTGGTGCTGGGGAGTGTAGAGCAATGAGCGTAATGCTGGTAGTTTGTAACGATCTGCTGTGATAACAGACTGATGTATGCCTACTCAACCCGGAAAAACATATCAATCTAAGGAACCGACAAATGAGAAAAATATCAAATATTTCAAAAATTAACATTTGAAAGTTTATTTTAATACTTTTATACACAATTTTAATATGGTTGTACAACTTTGTTAGCAATTTCAGCTGGTTTTCTCATTAAAGATATCAATATAAAGTCTATTATGTATCTCAGCAATCATGGCGTAATATTTCCAGTTTAGCTCATCACAAGTAATAGATATACCTAAAAAAGTCTGCAGGGACTACCCGTCCGTCAATCAGTTACATATCAAAATATGTCAACCGCGCGCTAGAAGCGCGTGCTGGAGCGTCACGCGGAGAAATTCCACCTCAGCAGACGAACATAATCTTACTAATGAGTTTCCCGCGGAAAATGGATATTTACTCGAAAATAATACCAAGCATGTCAACAGTTACCATTCACGCAGGAGTTTGTCTTAGATTGTGTTACGTATTCAGGGAGGGATGCTTTTATCATAAGCGTGTAAATATTCCATCGTCTGCTCGCAAAATACCGTTTCGACCGTTCACAGGGTTTTTCTCGTGTTTCCTCTGTGCACTGGCCCGTCTTTATTACACAATTCTAGTATCATAGCAGATATGAAGTCAAAGCGACAGATGTGTATTATTTGCTGGATGCAGCAAAATTAGCTCGCTAGGGACAAATTGATATTTGAATAACGCTCGTGAATTTTAACATGGATAACATTTGAAATACGTCAAACTTGTTTATGGACTTTTCTCGTGTTTGCAAAAATACAAAATTGAGAAATATACGAAGTTACAAGACATTGTCTATATTGTGACTTGTAAATGACATGTCAATACATATCCTACATACAAAGGATACATTTCAATATATATGACAGTTCATTTCCAAACCCACCCAGATTGATGTAGCTGATTAATGTAAGGAGTACGTACCTCTGGTTCGAGTCGACCGACTCTGAGAGTGACGGGGTCATTTTGGACAACCTGAACTCGACAATCTCCATTGGATTCCGTCCGAGCAAACTTGAGGTCATCACGTCGAAAATACACACTTCGGCCAATTCTCACACTTAATTCCCTTTTAGATATAACAATCTGACCACTGGTCATCGATATAAATGAAGTAAAAAACAAGATCCATTTGAATAAATCACAGCACATCATCGTCTCCTTCATTTTGAAATCGTGTATATATCCATGTACTAACTATTTCTCCTTACACGTGTCGCCGAAATAGGTTTTAATCCAAAGGCCCTATTACACAACCCTGGCGTAAACCATGCTTTCTTTTAAAGGGGCAGTCTGGCGAGTTGATCCATTGGTGGGCCGAGATATATTCCCCTGTGCAAATATTCCACTGTTTCGTCTGTGATTTCTTATCAAAGGGTTTGACTGTTATATTTCAGCACTGTCTCGTTCAGCCCCAAAGTAAATCCCGCTCCGAGCACCTGTTGATATAAAGACATCAATGGGTCAAATCTATGGTGGTAGGTATGGGAAGTGTTCTCGCTAATTAGGGTGCCCTCTGTTGTAACCATGTATATCGTAGTGTTGGCTGATCATGATTAGGGCATGTCTATACGGTATAAACCTGTACATGTCGCTATAGACTAATATATCCATGCATGTGTACGTTTGCATTTGTATCAGTACTACAGGAGTTTTCTTTACTATAACGTCTAAATAGGTAATTTCAGTGTGTTTTACCTGTATATATCTAGACACATGTACATACAATCGATCATTATGCTATATATATTTACATATCTCGCTCCATATCCGTTATAATAGGGAAAAACTGATTCTAAAAAACGTATTGCACATTCATAGTATGTACATATTTGTATCCTACGCATATATATTATATATTTATATGTATGTAACTACATATTGTATACAATGACAGTATATGAACGCAAATATGTGTTCATTGTGTACAATGTAAATATTCTTCGGCATGTACGTTTTATGTAGACATATTCCTTTACTTACATTTAATATAGATGTAAATGTATACATATTTCTATAATACTTATACATAATATGTGCATACGTACATCGTACATATTATGTAAACATATACATACATTATACATAGTTCTATACGTTCATATAATAAATATATAATGTATATGATACAAAGTGTTATCATATTTCTTTATGAGCACAAAATAGTATACATACACAACATATTTTCCACATACACAAATATGTAAGTACAAAATATACCGTTTATTACGCGTACGTACATATAAATTTACAAGCAATTTTTAAAACATTGACGTATACTCACAAATCATGCACAGTGCTATTATCTAGTTAACCTTAGCGTACAATACAAAACAACATGATTAATGCCTATGACTGTTACCGCACATATTTGGTACTATATGTAATGTATGTGTAATCACATTCCGTGTGTACACGTGTACCTTATGTATATTACTAACTTAACAAGTTTAGGGTGACCGGCCCTGTGTTAATAAACATACCAACTTATAAAATCTAGGGTGATCGATCCGGCCCTTGTTGGCTATAGTATCTTCTGATACAAACTTAATAACTGTAGAGCGACCGGTCCGGCGTTAATAAACGTACTCCTACTCATAACCTATCTACTGTATCCTCTGACACTAACTTCTAAAATCGTGGGTGACCGACAAACTTACTAAATCTAGGTTGACCGGTCCTGTGCGCCCCTTGATATACGAGATGTTGCACTACAGAGTCCTGTGTCCCTACACAAACATGCACTCTTTTAAAATTTCAGCTATATATCTAGTCTGTCAGCACGATATATTAATGTATATTAATAGTGTACCTTACCTTGAACTGAGACTGTGACACAAGTTTACGGTATAGCATGTCTTTTAATATGATGTAAATAAAGGGGCAGATTTTAATCGTAAGAAAAACAAATTAATCTCATGTTTTCTATGATATTGATAGCATATGCAATACCTATATAGGTATGTTTTGATACGCTCGGTATAAGCTCGTTACGGGTGAAAACATGTGGTTTCCACGTGAGCTCGCGAGGCGTGGTCGAACTCAGCCGATAATCTGGTACCGAGACGCTAATGGCTTCCAATAAGAGTAATAGGGGTTATTAACTGGAGGGAAGGGATCACGATCGAACAGGGGCAGAACAAAATAAAGCTGTCTCGACGAACGAGACTAAGCCCCAACCCCTCCCAACTCTCCACACCTCGGACGGTATATTGTTGTTTCAACGCATTCGTGGTATTAGCAAAAGTACTGCTTTTCAGACCCATCTCTTTTGACCGCTTGAAAGTTGTTTTTATTTCTTTTGAACGAGAGTGCGAAAGCTGTCTCGTTTAGTTATTACAGGGTATTACACCACCCCTGCGATCCCTCTAAACCACGGCTTCGGTAGACAAATTGTTCGGGATTATTCAAGGCCTGTTGATGTATATTTTTATTTACAGCTACTGTACTTATTGTTGATGCAAGCGAAGGTGAGATAAGCTAAATACGTATTGCGATACAAAAAATCCCGCCGGGTATATCTCCGGTAAATCAAAATATGAGGTAATTATAGATAATAGCGCGCATCACACCACCGTACATATACATGTATGTACTATCTTTACACGATCAGGGTATCGTATGAAATAGAGTAGGAGGAGGGGAGGGGGAGGGGGAGGAAAGGGGGGAGGGAGCTGGGTACGAATATTCGGCATCACAAATAGATGAAAGATAGCACCTATCTATAAGAAATCTTTTTATGAAACATTGGTGTATTTGTCAAGCGTATGATAATAAACTTTTAATATTCGAGACATACAAGCGATGGGTCCTAATGGCTAAACAATCAATAGATACCATCAATAATTACGTACTTCAGAATTAAATTTGCATGATTAATTAAAACATCAGAAGGCCTGCCCGCTATCTTCGTGCGAACATAATATGCAAGTTGTTTCTTGTGTTTATGGCATTAAATCATAAGTGTGCTTTAATCGGAACTGCTACAGTCGATGAACCATCAAACTAGCATGTTTTTAAGTTTGCCAGATATTTAAAATCTGCGTACATGTACTCCAATTAAATTCCCAGACACTTTATCACGAAAACACCGACGAGTATCCTCATAGAACAACATTGAACGTTCAAAATGACATTATTGAATTGTCAAAATGACAAATAATGCAAAACGTTGTAGAAAAGATGTCTCAACAGAAAGTACACCCGCATTCTCCCGCAATATTTCAAAACAACGTAACAAAAAGCTGTTTACCACAATGACAAGGCTGGATTTGTCCTCTATAATATTATGGTTAGACGATCTTGATTTACTTCCAAATTGTTTTCGTGGTGAAAGACAAAGAGATCTTGTTAAAAATCGAATCTGGAGCAAGAGGCTCTCACGGTCCCGCGATAATATCCGCTGGCCAGAATCTAACGTGGAATAGTCACGAAACAGAAGGTAAAAGTTCACGGGTTTTATCAATGGGTATCTGGCTCGCAAGCAGACCTTGAGCAACAGAGGGAGCTCGCAGCTGTGTTAGACTCTGACCCATAACACCAGAGGGGAGGGTGTTGGAAAGCTGAGCAGGGCCGCGATTCAGTTTCTCACTTCATCTCGGCAAAACATTTTTTATTCGTGTATAAAGTTTAACTATGGAATACCAAACCATTGTTTAAAAAATAAAAATTGAAACAAGTTTCCCGTAGTTGTAGTTCAAATCGTTTCGGGTGTTTTGTGATTTGCAATTTGGTCTTAATAAACTATTATTTTTTATTTTAGATATTTTTCTTGCTTCTAGTATCACAAGAAACGTTCTACTGTGTTAAAAAAAGGCTGCTAAAACAGTTAAAATAGAATCATCATAATAATTATTTTATCTAAAAATCTCAATTTCTGCGTATACTATTGTGCCTTTAAATTCATATAAGATGTATACAGTGGTGTTTTTTTTGGAGAGGTGGGGGAGGAAGGGGGGGGGTTGAGAGGTTTATGGTAGAGATAACGATGGCTAGATTAAAGATATCACTAGACACAAGGGTTGGGAATAAATGTCTCATGACATGTAAGCAAACAGCTTATTGTGTGGCGTCAGAAAATATGAATTCCTAAGTTAATTGTGTGTACGTTTCACGCTAAAATACTGTTAAAGATGAATAAACTGAGCTAAAGGAAATGCGTAGTTATACAAATTCTAAAGTAAAGAAGTCCGTGTTGAATAGTGATCAACTGAAAAAAGAATAGATGATTACCCATTTAAATAGAAAAAAACGAATACAATGTCGTATTTTTTACAAAATGAAACCAAAATTAAAAAAAAGAGATTGCTGTTTATCGCAATAAAAACAATAATTTAAAAAATGCTGTTTAATTATTTCTAAAATCGGAACCAGCTGAAATGTCAATAGTAGGGTGTAAATCCAAATGTGAGCAGGACGCGCGTCCTAGTCGAGACTTTGTCTTGTAACTTCGCCAAGACGCGTGTACGAATGCAAGATAAACATGGCAACCGGCGTTCTGTTTTTGTACCCGTCCGCTCTCCAAAGACAATAGAACAAGACACCACAAAATCAGAGGGCCTATCGCTTATTCATTGTGCCGTCCTGAAGGATAGAGGTTGAAGATGTTCGTGTCAGTAGCGCTAGCAGGCCGTTTGACGTTAGTTTAGTTAAGGTCTAGACGGAAGAGCTCCCACAGTATATGTTCTGTAATTACTAGCAGTAATTTAAGTGATATTGACTCTTGGAGAATATTTATCATACCTAACGATCCAGCCGTCATTTACGAACGGTATAAAAATTAACTCAGAGTATCATATTTTCACAAGACACGGTCAATTTCAGCGCATACAATTATCCACAGACAAAAATAATTTGTTAGTATTATTTTCTACACAAACTGAAAATTAGTTAATAATATTTTGGTTTTGGTTCTGTAAACATTCCGAATTCACATATACAGCTGATAAAAGCAAGATAAGTGGGTTGGAAGTTGCAAAGGGCAATCTCCCCATATCACCAGCCTACTACAACCACCAGACAACCTAGTTTTACCAGGAGTATTTCTGTTATTGAGCATAACTGATAACACCTTTTCTCAGCATACCTTTACACTAGCATGGTAACAGCAGAAACAGGAACATTATTTAATTAGATATAATTTGAATTCAAATATATTGACAGAATTATGAAATTATTCCCCATGTCTAAAATATTTGTATTAAGGTCTCCGGTTAGCAGTGAAATTCAAATCAAAATTAATTCCGAAACTAATTCGGCCTTCAAAGTATCGAAATTATTCATTAAAATACGTCATTTATCTGTAAAATGTTGGCATTCTAACTATTCGAGACTCTAAGTCCCTGCAGGTAGGGCGTTAGCATTGTACATGCTGCCCCCGTGGCATGATCGTAAGAGGCGACTAAATTTGTGATCTTATCTTTTCTTTCTTTCTAAACAA